AGGTACCTGTGAGGTTAATTTTAGAGTATATGGTCAGGGTTAGGATATAAAGTCTAAAAGACATGAATGGAAGTCATTGGAAGGTCCCCACGTGGTCAAGAAACAAACGTGTGTGTGTGTGTGTGTGTGTGTGTGTGTGTGTGTGTGTCTTACTGCTGGTGATAGAGTGGTTGTCCTCAGAAAGCTCATGGAAGTGCAACATCTCCTGCTGAGCCAGCTCCAGTCGCTGCTGCTTGACCAGGTACATTTCCTTCTTGGCGTTGAGGGCCTCCTGGGCCACCACAAGGTACTCCTTCAACATGCGCTCCTGCTCCTGCCGCCACTGAGTCCGCGGGTTCTCAATCTGGGTGGTCTCTGAACAAAAGAACCAATCAGGAGTGCCTTTTGAGCAAACCATACCATATCAACACCAACCTAAGAGTAAAATCTGATATTTTTAAAGTCTGTACTCAGTATGGTCTAATTTCTGTGGTGTGAAAATCCGAGGCCTGAGATKAACTCACTGTTGATGTGGTCGATGTAGTAAACTCCCACTTGCTGGTCGTAGACCTCCTCCCAACCCAGAGGCAGTTCATCTCCAACACAGTCGGCAAAAGTCAGTGGTTTGGTGATTCTGGAACAAACAGAAACATTTTAATACAGGCCAGACCAGAGTTTACACATCTGTACTTTGTGTTATACTGCAACAACGGGTGTCATTACTGATGGATTAATTTAAAATAAGATTTCTGACTTCCAGGTAATTTACACAACAGCACAGAAAAAACAAACAAACATTAAATCAAATGTCATTGCCTTTACATTTTAAACTTGTGTTTAACTGTGGAAAATACTTTGACATTTCTCTCACTATTAATGGAAAAATACAAAATTTGAAGGAAAAAAAATATTAATGCACATGTTAAGACTACAAATGTAGTTGTTAATTATATTTAAACACAAATCAAAAATTTAAGTCAATTTAAACATTTTTATTTCACATCAAAGAAAATGTTATGCTGGATAAAAAAAAGAGCCATTAAAACACAACTGGAGGGAAAACTGATGGATATTCATATACTGAGGCAGACAAATATAGTATTTATTATTGTTACTTTGTTACCATTTAAGATTACAATTGTGCATCTTTAAAATGCAAAGATCAACCACTGTTTGCAGTTCTGATAAAAAAATATACTTGGAGTAAATACAACTTTCTGGAGACGCTGCATCTGCAGCATGAAGGCTGGTAAATTAGTGCACAGTTGGAATAAAACAAATGAATAAACCTGCAGAGTTTGTTTTAAATGGAGCAAATCTTTATATAAGAAAGGTATGAACTCGGAAAACAAAGTTAGCGAGCTGTAGTTAAAGCTGTGACCTCACAGAAAGAAGGTTGCAGGTTTAAAACCCAGCTAGTGTCTACCTCTGTTTCCTCTGACCAAAAACATGCATGTCAGTTTTTACTAATATGAGCGAGAATCTGTCTCGTTTGTATCCATGAGGCCCCATGATGAACTGTCAATACCAGGGAGTCCCCCCATCTCACCCAAAGACCACTGGAGACGGTAGCAGCCTCTCATGACCCCGCACACAGAACTGGGTAAAGAAGTAGGGTGGATGTCAAAAAATGTAACAGCACTCTGTTTTAACTGAACCTCTTCCTTTACAGGTAAAAGTCTAGTTTTTCTGCATGAAGCTGATCTGCAGTGTTAAAGCTTCACTTAATATTTCATCCATTTTAAATATTAAACATTTAAAAATGAACCGAACCACAGCCRTCGCACTGCCACAGGAATGAATTGATGAAGCAAATATTTAATCAGAAATTACAAAAAAGTACAAGTATTTTGTTAAATGCGGTTACTTTATTTAAAAAAAACTATACTTTTAAGTCATAGTGATCCTCAAAAAACAACAGCTCTAGTTACCTTTGCCAAGGAGGTAATGTTTTCGGTCACGTATGTCTGTTCGGCTGTCTGTCGTTCTGTCTGTGGACAAAATTACTCAAGAACCTGTGGACGGATTGTCATGGCATTTTTACCACATGTGAGGATTAGCCAAAGTGACACACCTTTAAATTTTGTTGAGGTTCCGGATCACGATGCGGATACAGGAAGTTTTTTTATTTCTTTTAACTCTGAGCCCGAAAGCTGTGATGCACTGACAGGGCTTCAGTATAAAACAGTGACAGCTTTCACTGTTCAAAGTTTGGACACAGGAGGAGAACAGATTCATTTTGGCATTTTGGAAGCTAGCAGGTTAGTTTTTAGACCAGACAGTGTGTGAGTGTGTGCGCCAAGGGGGAGGAGATAATGTTTTAATTGCTGAAAGCGCTTAGACACTGTAGTTTGCTTCGCTTCAGAAAAAAAAACCTTCATGAGCCAACTGTACCAGGAAGCACTTCATAAAGGGAGACAAACAATTACAAACTCATAAAAAAGGGATAAAAAAGAYGTTTTATTCAGTGGAATGTGACTGATGAAAACTTAGGACAGAGCTATTCAACTGGCCCGCCAATTGGTTCATTCATCTCTTAAGCTCAAACCCCCAGTTTTCTACTTTAATCAAGTTCTTTTAGTTAGACATAGACATGTTTGGTATCTACAGAACCGTCAGAATCTTGGCTACAAGCTGGTAAAAMCCATTTCTGTGCACACTAAAGACAGTTAAAATGACAAGCAGTTGAACATAAAACTACCAAAGTGAAAATAAAATTGGGTTAAAAATTTGGCAAGTCACAGATATCAAAATAATAGTTGTGTCAAATAGCGGGTAAAATGTGTTCTTTTTGTTTTTGATATTGTTTATTTATCACTACTTTTATAGGGTTCTGTATGTTCTAATCATGATTAAATGCAGCAAAATAAACTATTAAGGTAACAGATCTTTGTAAGACTTGGTTTATTTACATAATAAATTTAATTGCTGGATGTTCGGCCCCTGAGCTGTTGACCTGCAGTAACTGTGGCTCCCAGAGCAGTTTAGTTGAATAGCCCTGACTTTGGAGCTTAATCTGAGACCAGTTTGACAATGAATAATGTCGGGTGATGAGTCTGACTTTTTATTATCACATTGGACTCCACAGGGAAGAAATCCCGTGCATACTGCTGCTTAAATGTTCACTACGTCAGAACTTATTCGACAAATGTGTTTCCATCTCTGCTTTTGCACAATAACTCCATTACAGGATGGGGGAAATTGGTCTTGGCGGAGGTTTGCACTCTCTGAGTGCTTCTAGTTCTATTAATTAAATTATGAAAACAAGTTTATTAACTTCAGCTTTTTCTGCAGTTCAGTCATTACATTTATTAATAAATAACCTAATTCTGGTTTAAAGTGGTCCTCTCAGCCACATCAGTTCTGCAGGTGATTTTACACACAGTAGTAATAGCCTTTAACAGTCTCTAAATTAATTAGCTAGTTCAAACTGGGTTTAATTTATTAGAGGTGCAACATTCCATGATTCTGTATCGAACCATTCAATCCAGCGCTTTAGGTTCAACACACACTATGTATGGAACAATACAGATTTTTAACCATTTACTTTATTAACTTTTCTTCTGAAAAGTAAATTTGTTTGTCTTTCACAACACAGTGTTGAAGGCTCAGCGGATCTGTGTTCGACTACTCCACCTAGGCTGCATTGTCGAGTACAGATCCACTGAGAAACTTGCTGTTTCAGCAACATTTAATTTAAAAACTACTTTTGAGGTTAAACAAATGTTCAGAATTAATTTTAAAAAATCACAAGTTAATAAGGCATGGGCATTTCCATTTTTTGAACTGAAAAATATGGAATCGTGACGCTAAAGTATCGACCCAATCGAAATCATGAATTTTCTGCATCGTTGCACCCCTATAATTTATGTAGTTATAATGTATTGAGGAAAATATACAAAACCATAACTTATCCAATAACCAATCAAATTTTATCTAGATGTGATTAGAGACAAAAAACTGCTCTTTGTGTGAGAACGCCGATTTATTGATTCTACGAGCAGACCCTGTAACAGAGTTCAACAGAACWACCAGTCACTGATCACCAACAGAGCAGACAAAAGGAGGACCACTACAGGAAGATCACAGTGCAGGAGGCCTGAACCTGGTGAGGTCTGCACATCCTGAGRAGAGTTGGACTCCTCGTGAGCTCTCCTCACTGAGAGGGATCAGACTTCTGCTTTCTGGAAATAAACTATTTTCAGCACTCGGACACATGCTGATGATTCAAATGAGACTGAAGKGTTATAACTCATTCAGGCTGTTCTGAGAGTGGGCAGAAAGCGTCTACATAATGTTCCACTAACAGTACTCAGGAGTGGCACCAACTCCTACATGATGAATTGGGGGCGGGGCATGTCAAGAAATTCCAATTTATTCTGAATTTCAAACATCTTTGGGAAACTACAAATAATTTAAAGTCACCTGGTGGTATCAAATACCACCACCAGGTCAGCTTCAGGTGCTTGTAGTTAATATTAAATATCTTAACCAGGTGTTTCAATGCCTTTACATTACAAAACAATTATAGTGGATAAACTGTGTCAGTTTGGTAATAAAAAAAAAACAGTAAAACAAATTGTTTTTCTATGCAGAGAACTTCTTGTGCTATAATTTTTTAATAAATACATCAAAGCTCCTCAGTT